GTTCAAACCCACCAGCCACTCCTTGGAAGGAAGGTTGGGCAATCTACTTCCGTAGTGATACTGCCTCAGAAACCCAAGGAGGGGTTGCTGTGAGTCGGGTCCAACTCGATGGCACATAACAACAACAACAACAACATAATTCTTGGTTGGAAATTTTTCTCTTTCAGTGTTTTATATATACCATCCCACTGTCTTCTTGCCTGCATGGTTTCTGTTGAGAAATCTGAGCTTAGTCTTACTGGTTGCCCCTTGTAGATAACTTTTCATTTCTCCAGTGCTGCTCTCATGATTCTTTCTTTGTCTTTGGTTTTGGTGAGTTTGATGATGATATGTCTTGGTGTTTTTCTTTTGGGGTCTATCCTGTTTGGGGTTCATTGGACTTCCTGAATGGATATATTCTCATCTTTCATCATATCAGGGAAGTTCTCCTCCAACAAATCTTGGACAATATTCTCAGTGGTTTCATTTTTCTCTTCCTGTTCTGGAATTCCAGTGATACGCAGGTTATTCCTTTTGATGGTATCCCACATGAACCTTAGGCTTTCTTCATTTTGTTTTTTTTCTTTTTTCTGATTGATCCCTTTCCAAAGAAGTATTCAGGTATTTGTCTTCAATCTCATTAATTCTGTCTTCCATTGCATCAGTTCTGCTCCTTTGCCCTTCCAATGTTTTATCTATTTCTGACAATTTAGTATTAATCTTCTGGATTTCTATCTGTAGATTTAGAATCATTTCTAATTTTATTCATTTTGTAACTTCTAAACTACAGCCAACCACCCTCAGGGAGCAAGCGAGTTGTTGAGCCTGTGGACCCAGGACCATGGTCGCAGGGTCATCAAGCTCAAATGGCATGACATGCTACACTAAAACATTGTTCTACATCCTACTTTGGTAAGGAATATCTGGGGTCTTAAAAGCTTACAAGCGGCCATCTAGATGCAACAATTGGTCTCTCCTCTCCTGGAGCAAAGAAGACGGAAGAAAACCAAAGATGCATAGAAACAATTAATGCAAGGGACTAGTGGACCATGTGAACCTCAGCCTCCATGACCATGAGACCAGAAGAGCTAGATGGTGCCCAGCTACCACTGTCAGCCACTCGGAGGGGGGTCAGCGCAGGAGATGCTGCATAGAGTGGGAGAACAATGTGGAACAAAACCCAAAGTCATAACAAAAGACCAGGCTTACTGGTCTAATAGAGATTGGTGAAACCCCCAAAACTATGGCCCCTAGTCACCCTTTGGGCCTGGAATTGAACTCACTCCCATGGCTTCCAGACAAACAATAGGCAGGCATATAAAGTGAACATTACACCAGGTGGGTACACTCCTTAGAATAGTCAACCATGGAGATCAGAAGGGCAGCATTTGCACAGGGAGATGGCACAGAGCAGGAATGCATGGGAAAGAACGACACAGGGAAAAGGGAACCACAGAGAGGAAGTGGGAAGAGTGCTATTACACTAACGGGATTGTAACTAATGTTACAAAAGGAAATCTGTATAAATTGTTGAATGGAAAGTTAATGTACTCTGTAAACTTTGACTCAAACCACAATAATAAAAAAAAAGTCTAGGTAAAAATCAGTTTGATTTCCAGCTGGACTCCTTACTATATATTATATATGATTTGAGGAAGTTACTAAGTAAGCCTTAGTTTTCTTATTTGCAAAATGAGTGTCTTAGTATTTTTCTTGCAGACTCATTGTGAGGGTAATTGAGATAATGCAGGTGGTGTTGAGAGCCCGAGTGCCCAGTAAATCTTTCTGTTGATAGTAAGTCATGTTTCAGAAAATTGTAATGGCAGTGATGCCCAGGCAGTGATGCTCAGGCTCAACCAGAGGCAGGGAGGCTGGTGGCAGAGAAGCTCATTTTGTTTTGGAATGATTTTGAACTTCAGTTGTGAACCAGTTAGTTGACAGTGACATACTAGTATGAGGTGATAAAGGCTTGAACTGTGGTTTTTGGAATAGAGGCATAATTTGAAAACAAACAATCCTGTATTTCATTATATCTGTGACATCATAAATTCCAAGATGCCCCATTATTTTATGTACCAGGAAGGAAAGAAAATGTTGACAAGCTCTGACACGATACTTTCTTATCCCTTAGAATTTTTATTTTATACTTAAAGAGCTCTTTCAGGCAACTTAGATTTTTTATCATGCACCCACTCCTCACTTATGAGCACAGTTAGGTTCTGGAGAGGTCATTATGTGAAAATCAGCATTATGCATAAATGGACAGTGACTACATCATCCACAGCTGCCATATTACATTATCACATAACTGCCAAACCATTGAGAATCATGGCCCGGACAAGCTGACACAAACCTTAATGTTATAGCCAGCATTGCTCTTGCCTTGCACTTGGGCATTCGTTCCTGGCAGATGTATGTTGTTAATGCACAAAATGGTTGGCTAGTACATTTTTTACTATTCTGTAAATGCAAGCTGGCAGATAACAGAATGGTCAGTAAGTGAGGAGTCGGTGTCTGTCGTTTCTGAGTATACGTGAGAAAGGAAAATGAAGTGAAATAAGAGGTCGCCCAAGGGTCTTTATATTCAGAGTCTGATGCCTCTACTGAGTTGTTTCATGATCATCAGTGTCTGATTTTTTATAAAATATCACCCCCTTCATTATACTTTTCTTCAGAGTTCTCTGCTATTGTCACTGCACAAGAAAATGTCCTTGGGAGGGTTATCGGACCACAACCAAGACGCACATTCCTTTCTCAGATGGTGCTGAATGGTTTGTTGTCTGAAAAGGCCAGGAGTTGCAGTCATAGCCCCAAGGGATGACGCCATGTTCTCACATATGTGACACCAGTGACAGGTAGTCCCAACCGTGGGCTGGTCCACAGCAATTTTAAGATATATCTTAATTTCAGAGAATTGATAAATGTCGGGGGGAAATGCATCTTAGAATTGATAAAGCAGATGGAATTGAAATGCTACTTTTATAATTTGGGAAAAGCTACTTAACATCACTAAGTAAACATAGAAATGCTGTGGTCACACTTGAAGCTGTTTTGTTGTATATTATTTTAAGGGAACTCTGCTTATATTTTTGTTTGTTTGTTAACTAAGTTATATTTAAGAAATTAGAGCACCATTGAGTTTAGCAAAATACCTGGGTCTTAATTTCTGGGGTTTCCCTGACCCACAAAAATGGCTGAAGTTGTTGGAAATTGGCTGGTCACGCAACAGTAGAAACCCAATGCTTTTGAATGGCAAGTGTTTGCAGAACTGTGAAGTTCCTTTTTATAATATTATCTTTCATTCTTACTATGGACATATACGCTACTAGAATGAATTAACCTGTTATATTAACTAAATTTTGAAGCCAGAACCCGGGCTTATACAATTCAGTTTTTCTGTGGGATGGAAGATTAAAAACACTACACAGAATACAGAAACCTAGCAAGCAGAAAATACCATCTTGTAAAGTTGACGATACCAGCTGCTTATATTACAATAACTATAATGGCAGTAATTTTGAAACTTCCTTTTTATCTTGGAAACCAGAATCAGATGGAATTCATAGAGTGATGATTCCACAGGTTTGCACTATTTTTCTTTAATCCGCTTATCAGTTCACCTTTGTAACTGCGGAAATAGCACTACATAGTCAACAATCAGTTTCACTTTTCCAGACATTGGGGTGGATTATAAGAATCTTAAGGAGTCCTGGTGGCACAGTGTGAGAGTTAGCAGCTCTCAGCTGCTAACCAGCAGGTCTGCAGTTCGAATCCCCCAGATGCTCCTTAGTAGAGAGATGAGGCAGTCTGTTTCCATTGAGATTACAGCCTTGGAAACCCCGTGGGGCAGCTCTGCTCTGTTCTGTAGGGCTGCTATGAGTAAGAATCAACTCGATGGCAGAGGGTACGGGAATCTTTCTCTTTAGCTCCTCATAATGAAGTACTTACAGAGATACGTGTCTTATCGAGAGGCCAGTCCACTTGGCAGGAAATCCTAGACACAAACATTGTCGCAACTCTGGTCAAACTTCATATTCTCTTTCCTTTTTCCTACGATAATGCCTTGAGCCCTGAAAGCAAGTTAATTTCCTGTCCCACCTTGTCAATTTCTATAACCCCATGGCTTCTTTGTTATCCCCAAAGGTACCCTCATCCCCCTTGTGTATTCTTGTCAGTGAATGAGGCCATTATTGCTGGGTGTAGGATCCAGTGTCTGTCCCCCCTGCCTGCCCACGGCAGAAGAATGTGTGTGTGTATAAATGTGCCACTGTTAAGTTCTCTGTCTTTGAGAGGTGCTTCACTGACAGTAGAGAGGAGTGGAGCCAAAGAAGAGCAATCTCTCGTTCAAGCCTGTGGTGGTCAGAGATCTAAGGCATCATGAGCTTGAAGCTGCCTTCTGTCACCAAGGAGGCCTTGACCTATGGGGCTCTCTTGCCCCAGGGCCCTACTGCTAGCGGCACCTTTGACCCCAGCTACAATATACATATCATGTTTTCTCTGGTTCCTTTCAGGCCAACCCCTTGTGCACTTGACTGTCCTCTGTTGGCTAGACTGGCTTTGCAGGAAAGTACAGGATAGGCTACTTAGAATTTTAGAGACATAAGTAAGTCCTTAGGATCTTGAAAATGGTTTTGGCATTAACTGCCACAGCCAGGAGGACATTGTATGGCCTGGGAAGTGCAGAAAGGTGAAGAATGCCATTGCTATCAGATCTGGAACAGATGATGGGGTGGCATTCATGGGATAACCTGAATCTAACTTGGAAGCAGTGTATCTATCAAACTTTTTCCACTGGCTCCTTTCTCCTGTTGTTACCTGTAGTTTCATCATCTTTTCATTTAATTCCGTTCAGTGTGATGTCTTTGGGGCCAGCGGGTATTTTTATCTGCTAGAGGTGGAGTGTTTGTTCTTGGGGCTCTGCAGTGGCTCAGGGCAGCCAGCCCCACCACTTGCTGGTTGCTTGGCACCAGCCCTCCCTGGTTACAGGCGTCTTGTTTACCTCTGTCCTTAATTCCCTGCAGGTGCGTAAGTACAAGAGCATGATTTTGGAAGACCTGGAGTCGGCCTTAGCAGAGCACGCCCCTGCGCCGCAGGAGGTTAACTCAGAGCTGCCGCCTCTCACCATCGACGGAATTCCAGTCTCTGTGGACAAAATGACCCAGGTAAGGGGCGGGAGATGAGGAGGAGAAGGAGAGACAGATGACTCAGCTGTGGGCGGGGCTCCAATCCCTTCCCTAGCTTTGTCCTCAGGGACAGCACCAGAGTGGGGCACGGGTTGGAGTCGGCAAGTGAAGCGGTGGCAGCCTTGGACGAGAGCATGCCAGGCCGTCCTGTGGCCACGTTTTCCTCTCGTGTGGGCCCCCTGGCTGGGGTAGGTTTGAATAGGAGAGTGTTAGGAGTTTGATTACTCGCTTACAAGTGGGGAAGTGAACTTCTAGTCTCTTTTGGGCTGAGCTGCTCCTTGTTCCATGTAAATTCTAAATACACCCACCTTATCACCAAGTCAGGCTCCTCTCCCCATGGAATGGGGACAGAAAGCTCACTGAATCCCTTGCTCTTCCTTTGACAAGAGGTCAGAGTGTACTTAGCCTGATTGACCCGAACAGTGCAGTCATTCTGCTCAGGCCCTGCTGTGTGTGTGTGTGTGTGTGTGTGTCAATGAAAAACAACACAACGTACTGCCGTTGAGTCGGATCCGACTCATAGTGACCCTTCTTGAGTTTCCAAGGTGGTATCAGCCCAACCTTCCTTCCAAGGAGTGGCTGGTGGGTTTGAACCACCTACCTTCTGATTAGCAGTCATATGCCTTAGACACTATGCCACCAGAGCTCCCATATATATGAATTTTTTTTCTTTTTTTACTTTAAAGGAGATAGGTCAACTAAGATTAGACACTCTTTTTATAGCATGCTTTTCCCCACTTTATTTCTTTATCGATGTACTTCTTTTATTTACTTATTTATTTTTTTAAATTGTGATTTGGGTGAAAGTTTACAGAGTCAATTCATTTTCCATACAGCAGTTCACATACACTTTGTCTCATGACATTGACTACAATTTACCACAATGCAACAGTTCCCCTCCCACATCCCCCCCATAGTTACCTCTTCCCTGTGTCCATCCCTCCATGCACTCCTGACCCCTGAGCTGTCTCCCTGTGTATACACAGCCCTTCTATTCTCCCATGATTGTTCTCTCCAAGGAGTGTATCTGCCTTGGGTAAATGTTCAACTCACATGCCTGTCTTTTGTTTGGCTGGAAGCCATATGAGTCGATTCAATTCCAGACATGAAGGGCAGCTAGGGGCCATAGTCTCAGTGGTTCCATCAAGTTCTATCAGACCAGCAAACCTGGTCCCTTTTTTTTTTAAGTGATTTTTGTTCCACATTGTTCAAGCTTTAAGATCCTAGTCGCTACTTGCCAAAGTAGGAGGTGGAACAATGTTTTGTGTAGTATGTTATGCCAATTGAGCTTGATGTCCCCTGTGACTGTGGTCCCAAGCCCACAAATCCAACTACTCACTCTCTCTGGGTAGCTGGCTGTGGCCAAGAAGTGACTACAGCCTTGTCCCCTATCAGCTCTACTGTATACCTGGGAATTATTACAGAACATACCAATACACCTGTAGAAACATTGTCTGCCAAGCCTATACATGGTCTTGGGCACACTTCCACCTGCATAGGCATACCTAATAGTGGAGCCTGTTATTGATGTACTTCTGTCTTGTTGGTTTTCTTTCCTTCTTCAGTCTTCTGTGAGCCCACCCTCTCCTGAATACCCTCCTGCCCCTCCTTTGCATCCTCTTATCCCTTTGCTGTTGGCAGGGCCCATGGCTCAGGCCTCAGCCTGCTACTCTAGTTTCTTTGCAAGTGATCTCATCCTCTTCTATGGGCTTTCTCTCTGAGCTATATGCTGATGACACCTCAATTTCTATCCTTTTTAGGCCTCTCTACATGTCTTAAAAACGGCCTGTGATTGCCCCACTCACCTGGATTCCCCTGCTGTGCCCCACATCTAATTCCCCAGCATGGCTTTTCACCTCTGAAATGCACTTTTTAATGTCGTTTCATAGCTGCTGCTGTTCTGTGTCAGGGGCCGTTTGGATGGTCAAATTAAAGGTGTAGGGGGATCTTTTGTCTAAGGGATGCAGAGTCTGCTGTGTGATTCTAGACACACGGCACATTCAGAGCCTGACCAGCTTCTTTGGCACATTGAGGGGTGGGGTTGAAGCAAGCTGAGGGTTTTGTTATCTTCATCATGGGTACTGATGGTAGGAAAATGGGCTGATGGCCCCACAAGCCAGAGCAGACACTTTGGGGATAAACTTTTGGAATACACGATCAGTGGTCAATCCAAGGGGAATGATGCCCAGTCATTGATCAGACGTAGTTGCTTTGTTGGAGGTATGTATTTTCTTTATCGTCTTACATTCCCATTTTCCCTTGTTCCATAAACTTATGACTAAAAATAAAATAAACCTGCTAAATAAAACGAAAACAAACAAATGGTAAGGAGGACTGAGCAGGAGAATGAAAACCCCAGCTTCCAATTGAATGGGAATTTCAGATTAACTAGATCCTGGGAGTTTTTCCTTCTCAATAGGGTGTGTGTGTGTGTATGTGTGTGTGTTCCTCAGGTAGCTTCTGCACAGAGGTTGTGGGGATGGCTTTCTCTGACCCCCTCCAACTCCACAAGGAGGAGAGAATCAAGATGAACACCAGCAGCCGGAGGCTGGTTCCCATGAGGTGGAGGTCAGACATGTCACCACCATCCAACCTATTGACCAATTCTGACACGAGCCACCCCTCCCACAGCATTCTACTTGTCTGCTGGATTTGATAGTTCATTGCAGTGGCCACACAGAACTCACAGACAATACTCATGATAATGGGGTTTATTAGGGAGGTAGCAGGTTACAGTTTGGGATCAGAAACAATTCAGGATACACTTTCTTTGATCAGGACAGTTTCTTCTACTAATCTGTGCTACAGGCACACTTCTCTCTGGCCTCAGCCTCTTCCCTGCTCTGGCAAGTGTCACAGAGCTCTTTTAGCTCTGCCAGTAGATGCCCAGAGAGGCACCCCACTCTACCAGCAAACGTCCTGCCCAAAGGCATTCAGCTTTATCTCTTCGTGGGCCAGGGAGCCCTCTGCTCTGTCTCATTCCAGTCTCTTGGTTCTTCTGCCTCTGTCTCTCTGCCATCTCTGCACAGGGATCTCAGGTCCAAGGGCACACTCCACTCCCAGCTCTTTTCTCTCTTGATGGTAGTGAGATCGCCCCTTTCTGCCTCCGGGAGGGCAAAACTAACCAATCCCGACGTTAGGGTTCCATACACCTTATTTGCACGGTCCCACCCCCACAAGCGTGCCAGGTACCTTATTTACATTATTAGCAAGTTATCCAGTCCCCTTGGTGGGCCACAAGCACCTCACATGTGCATAGTCCCACCCAGTCATCTGGTGGGGGTCACAAAGATCATGAGTAGAAGAGCCATTTAAAGTAATTCACTACACCACAGCTTCTCCCTGTTGTGTGGTGTACTGTCTGTCCAGTCAAGTCCAATTCATAGTGACTGTATAGGACAGAGTAGAACTGCCTCACGTGGTCTCCTGGGATGTAATCGTTACCAGAACCGATCACCAGGTCTCTTCTTGTGCAGAGTAGCTGGTGGGTTCCAACTGTGGACCTTTCAGTTGACAACTTAACCACTATCCCACCAGGGCTCCTTAGCATTTCCCTAACCTGAACCAGATTCTCCCTTTCTTAATTGATCCTAAAGCTTTTTGCTAGTAATTGGTGGTAGTAAAAGCAGGCTTTTATTTCAGGCACATACACTGCCTACAGAAATGTGCATCAGCACTGTTTTCCATAGGGCAGTTGGGAATATTTACCCAAGTGTACAGCGTGCATATCATGCCTCTCAAGTAAGCAAAGGTGTTTGTTCACTGCTCATCACAACACTATTTATTTATGGTGTGAAAATTTGGGAACAATGTGATTGGTTAAAGTATGGCTATGGTGTTTAGAATTCACATGGAAAGAGGCTAGAAGTTTACTATTGAGTAAAATCGTAGGTACTAACAATGGTGATGGTCTCTAGTGCAGTAGAATACTGAGTGTGGTATAGTGAATTAAACAATAAATAGGTTGGGACACAGAATTGCTGTGCACTCTAATTTGAGGAGTGAAGGGGGTTTACTTTTTATTTCTTTTGGGGCACTTTTTTTTAAATTTTAGAGCACTCTAATTTGAGGAGTGAAGGGGGTTTACTTTTTATTTCTTTTGGGGCACTTTTTTTTAAATTTTAGAGAGTATAGATTTGAGTTGATTCATCCCATTTTTCTAAAACATATGCACAAAACATGCCTGTGCACATGTATGTGTATGTAAAACTTTGAAGGGATGTACACTATCATGGAGCTGCCCTGGGGGCAGCAGAGGGTGGGTGTTTGTGCCCTGGGAGAAGGCCAGGTAAGCAAGGAATGGGGTGGGAAGACCAGGAAATGAGCAGAGCAGTCTGGAACAACTAAGGGAGACAAACTTGTCTGTCAGTTTGTCATACTATAGTGGCTTGAATGTTGCTGTGAGGCTGGAGGCTGCGCCACCAGTGTTTCAAATGCCAGCAGGGTTACCCATGGTGGACAGGTTTCATCGGCGCTTCCAGACTAAGACAGACTCGGAAGAAGGAAGAGGCCATCCACTTCTCAAAGAATTAATCAGTGAAAACCTTATGAATAGCAGTAAATGGAGAGTAGCTAAAGCAAATGGAAGAATTGACAGGATAAAAGAGCTGAACAGAAGATTTCAAAGAGCAGCTTGAGCTGACAAAGTCAATTATTATAATGAAATGTGCAAAGGCCTGGAGTTAGAAAACCAAAAGGAAAGAACACACTTGGCATTTCTCAAACTGAAAGAACTGAGGAAAAAATTTAAGCCTCGAATTGCAATACTGAAATATTCCATGGGCAATATGTTGAATGATGCAGGAAACATCACAAGAAGATGGGTGGAATTGGTAGACGATCATCCATTTCAGGAGGTGTTATATGATCAAGAACCAATGGTATCGAAGGAAGAAGTCGAAGCTTCTTGATTGAAGCATTGATGGAATTGGTGAAAAACAAGGCTCTAGGAATTGACCGAATACCCATTGAGATGTTTC